TTTGCGTCGCGTCGTTTTCGTTGTAGCTGATCGATGAAACGATGGACGTAAGCGACGGTCCGCTGGCAGCCTTCCCACTTTGAGAATCGGTTGAAGTTCACCAACTGTTCGATCACGTTCTCTCGATAAATGTGCACCGGTCGTAGCTCCTCCTGTGGGAAGAGTTTAATGTTGTGGCCACATATCTGGAGGATTCTTCCTGTGACCGTTGTCGAACCGTAATCCATCCTTCCGTCAGGTGGCGTCGTCAGCAAAATCCCACAGTGATGGGACATATCGCCATTCACTCGTTGTCGTCTTATCGAATCTTTCCGCAACACGGAATGCCATGAATTATCGGTATTTACATTGATCCAACTGCAACTAAGCCCGAATTGTGCGTGAATCGCCCCAAAAGGTCCGCCGATTGCTACTCAATAAGTGGTACTCCTCTACTGACTTCACTAATCTGACACCGAACAGAGCAGCCTGCAGCTCCAATCGATTTACAGAAAGTGGTTTTAGTGGGGCAACTTTTGGTTTTGGTCAGAAGTCAGAACGCAGCCGCCACATACGCTTCTTCGCTGGCTTCAACAAAAATATGGAGGGCTATAGCCGGGAAAGTAGCCCGTTGGAATCCGAATGGTATCGAGATTTCACCATCCCATCCGATGTTGAACCGCCAAACGTTTTGAATTAGTATCTTGCCGTGGACCACGAATAGTGACACAAGACCAAGCGGATCGAAGATACTCATTACCACCTGGAGCAGTTGCCTTTTTGTTGGACTGGTATCTCCTTGTAGACGAATTAATTCGTATCTAGTAATCAGCTCATTCCCAGCACGCGTTCGGATGTTAAAGAATTGTGAGCTTTGAAGCCTTTCATTGGTTCTCCTGCCGAGTCCCCGACCCGTGTAAGAACATCACGTTTTTAGTACGTGGCGATCAGTTTTAAAGAAACAGTTTTACAATCAAATCCATTCCATCGAATGTTGAAGTTTAACATTTACTTAATTTTAGTATTTCTAAGATCTCAACATATTAAATGTCTTGAAGTTTCGTATTCCACACACTTAGCATTTTTTGCCGAGCTTGACACCACCGAGCAGGCTTGGCATTTACTTTTACTGAGATCTCGGCTAAATTCCCGTTGGTTAACTGAATCTTGGCAAGGTTTTCACTGAGATCCAGCAAAATAAAATGTCGAGCTGCTCGGCGGTGCCCATATCGGCAAAAAATCTAAGTGTGCATGTACAAGGTCAAGATCTTGGAAATTTTCAAAGTGCCAGAATCAAGGAATAAAAAAAAATTATTTCAAGTTTGTAATTAACTTTATTATAGATTAGAGATCTTCAATGTAGGTTGGAGGCGAACCAGCCCAAGGCTGAAAGCCTCCATAATAAAGATAAATAATAATAATAATAATCTTCAATGTAGTTCCATTAACATCACAACAATTGTAGGAACTTTACTGAAGTTCTGAGGAATGAAAGGAAAAGCTGAGAATTTCAGTGTAGCTTCATAAACAAACTGCAGGGATGTTGACATCCTGAAAATATGGGGAACTTACTGGAAGTTTTCAAAACCTCAAAGCGGTTCCATTACCTTCCGAAGAACTGCAGGATCTTTTAAGAAGTCGGAAGAATTTCAGAGAACTTCACCGGTGTCAAGAGAACTTCAGAAATATAGAGAACTTGTGAAAAATTGTGGAAACTTTTATGCAGTTCTAAGTACATCATAAAAGCTAGATCTAGATATCATGAGCTTAAGAAAAATGTTGAAAACTTCAGTGAAAATCATACAACTTTATTAATTATTTCGGTTTGATTCCATGAAAATTACAAGAGCTTAAAGAGGTCCAGAAATTTCCGAAAAACTTCGAAAACTTCACAGAAGTACAGACATTCTTCTATGGAACTTAAGGGAAGATCCGAGAACTTCAGGAACTTTCATGAACATTAGAAAAAGGCGGGAGCATTTCAGAGAAGTTTAGTAAGCTTCAAAAATAGAGGAAATTTTAGAGGGAGTTCAGTTTCGTTAGTTTCAGAAATTAGCGCATAATTTTAAGAAGTCCTCAGATTTTCAGATAACTTCAGATGTTAAGAAAATTATTTATAAAATCACTTAAGATCAGAAGTTCACGGAAGCTTACACGTTTTTAGCACAGTGTGTGTGTATTCTCTCTAAACCCCACTGGCAGGCAGTGTTATTATGGAAGAACTCTCTCTATAATGTCGCATTTATGGTCATTGTAGACAGCTTTAGTTCGGGAGTTCGAAAGTGATAGCTCTATTGCAGATCCAGCAACCCATTTCAGAATGTCTGGAGAGTCACGTCCATTTCGAGGTTACTTTCACTTACAATTAGCCCCGCATGTATCCATCACCGTTATCAAATGGATATTGGTATTACATTCACGCTTCCAGGTTCGAAAATATTCTTTTCAAACCTGGCACATATTTAGTTTATGTGTTTTTTTATTGTAAAATGTATTTGGACTGGTCTCACCATGTTAATTTGATCCTCCAATCCATGAGTTTCGTAATTTTGATTTTCTCTAAGCTTTGCATCTAATTTCGTGATGCACCTTTGTCGTACTACTTCCTTTAACGAACACAAATTTTCTTGCATTGTCATGATCATCTGGGAGGAAGTTCGCGTGTAGTGTTTTCCCCAGGAACAGTTCGCGGTCATCAACAACCACCCACTTGGGCGTATCCAGCGAGGCATCTTTCATATTGCTCACAATCTCCGACACCGGAAGCGGAAAACTAGCTGATTCACGGCAACGTCGGCCACCGAATCACCACCAAAACTCGCGACGGACACATTATCAACACGTTCCTGGGCTAATTCACCAACGGACTGATCTCTCAAGAGAACTACACGCCGAAAGAGTAGCATCCGAACTCGGAGAACCGGGCTCCCGGGAGGCAATGAAAATCGACACCGAACAATGGAACTGAATCTGCGTTGTATATTTTGGAGGTTAGATTCAAGTTCAACCGAGCCACTCAAGGCAAACACAGGTAAATCACGATATATCACTAAATGATAACTTTATGAATACCTGCAACTAAATTTCAGCACACAAATTAACAAATTTAAAGCCAAAATGTGTAATTCGCTTACGAAAAATACGCAGCAAAAGCAAAACACGTCAGCTTTCAAGCGCGGTCTACTGCGATCTCTAGCTTAAACGTTTTTAGGACAGTTCAATAAAATTCACGGCAGTACAACAAGCTTCATGAGAACTGCAAAAACTTTAGAGAAGTTTCGAGAACTTCATAGCAGTTCCGTTAACATTTGAGAAATTACATACATTTCAAAGAAGTTCCGAGTTAAAACTTTAGAGCAGATCCATGATCATTAGGAAATTTTAGGAATCTTTAGTAAGTCCGAAATTTCAGAGAAATTTGAAAATTTGATGAGAAGTATTGTATACATCAGTATAGTTTCTCAAAAAACTATAAAGGAACTTCAAGGCAGTTTAATTAACTTCAGGAAAATTGTGGGAACTTTCAAGTAGTTCTGCAGACCTCAGAATCTTCCTTGCGGTTCTCCTCAGAATTCGCTTTGTATTGTCCCGAAACTCTCATAGAATTGATCTAGAAATTCACTTGGATCGCTTCTCTGAATTCATTGAAAACTATCACCAGAATATACTTAGAATACTTCTTGCAATTCTATTGAAATAATCGCAAAAATTCGTTGAAACTATTATTCTCCGAATTCAATTTCGCTCGGAAGTGCCATGAAATTCTTCTCAGAAAGAAACTCTTTGGAAAGATTCTCAGAATTCTCATTGAATTCACTCCAGATTGTCTTTCGAATCTCACTCCTTCCCTTGGAATTCTACTCATAATTTAATTGGAATTTTCTCCTCATTATTTTATTTGAAAACTCTCCCCGAATTCTTTGCCGAATTGCTTTGAAGATCTCATGGAATTATGCTCAGATTTAAATGTAATTCTCCTTTTAGCATTTCCCTCACCCCATAAGTATTTTCCATAAATTTTCAAGGACTTTTGCGCCAGATTCGTATTCCCCAAACACTCTTCGTGAAATTATCCTCATACTCCTCAGAAATTCCTACGAGTTTTTATTAAAATTTGATTTGAACTCAATTCAGGAAAGCAGATTGCACTTGATGTTTTTCTCGAAGTTGATTTTTCCCAGAACTCTCTGGGAATGAGGTCCTTAGAAATTATAATAAAGCCCATGAGCCTTTAAAAATTTACAAGGAATTGGACTCCTGTAAATTTCTTGAAGTATTATAACTTTTAAGTCCAAAATTTCAAAAACTTGCATATTCCAGAACCATCCCCATAAAGAAGTTTTGTATAGTATTCTTAATCTAAGTTTGTACAACATTTAAAGTACTTCCGTATATCGAGATTATAACCAAGTTCGTTCAAATTTTGCACAGTTGTTGGGGACCTCACTACGCAATGGAAGACCAATGGGGGAACAAGGGATTGTAAAGTTGACCCACCCTAATGTACAATTATGAAAGGATGTTTAATTTTAGCTAATAATCATTTTGGCAGCTCGAATGGTCATAAGAAACTGGGGCCTCATTTCGCAAGTCGAAACGACAAACTTTTTCAACTTACGCAACGATGTCCCTGGTCTAGAAGAATTTAATCGAGTCATATTAAGAAGCAGTTTCACTCAAACGATCTCGGCAGCAGCAGTTCGCAGAGGTCGTAGTCCTGATAACCTCGCTGAAAACCTGATCGATTTTCCGATTGCGCAAACTATTAGCAAGTAATTGACATTTTGCTAGAAACTGGTACCACTTGCACTTGCAGCCAACCGGTTTTCAAACTTCTAATCACGGCGCTCACACACGTAATCCAACTTAAGTGCTCAAGTCTGAAGCAAAAAAATAAGCCAGTTCACATCTACCCTACCGACTCAGCTGACGTACTTCAATCTTCTCGAACGATGTATATGTCCCACTTACCACTGGAACCCACTCACACGTTTGTTTATCTCTATTTTCTTATCTTACAGAATCTCCTGCCGGTGGCACCAGCGCGACAGACAATTATTGCCCCGTCAGTTTCGCAGATTATAAATCTCAACGGGCAACGAGAAAACGACGACGACAACGGCGGATTTTCAGTTCGTATCAGCGGAGGATGAGCTTCGAGTCGATCTCGACAGTCGTCGCGTCAAAAGAGTAACCGGAAAGCTCAATCCCTAAAGTGAGTGAGGCAAAATAGTGCGATTCGTTTAGTTATTTTGTTTGTGGTGTCCTCGCAGATTAAGCGAAAAGAAAAATCATTCAAAAATATTCCATTTAGATAAGTGTAGTGTTGTACGTAAGCGCAAAGAGAAGTCGCCTGGCTTAGACTAAGCTAAATTATCAATCATTTCATACTGAAGTTTGAGGAAATTCGTCAACATTAGTTCGTCCAAAATGTTCATCGAGGAGGATGTGCAGTAAGTAACGTCCGCCGATTGGAAGCGACGTTTGTGTGATTCGGTTTTATGCATGCACTAACACGGTTGGAATTGTGGTTTCATAGTAAAATTAGCAGCCGATTATCATTCATCTTATTATTGGTTCGCTACTGAAGGGACATTATTCGATTTAAAAAAAAAGTGACTTGATAGCTTCTATTTTTATTTGCACTAATCATAAATGATTTTAGTGGATAGTTTCATGCATGATTTATTGATTTCTGATTATATACTAACTGTTAACAGCATGTGTAGACAAATGTGTGTGTGTGTTATTTAGTATTTGTGGCTATTTAACTGACTTTGAAATTAGTATTCATACACCAACAAATGTTGTAACACAATGATCATCTATGCTCGACAAATTAAAAAAAAATATTTCAGGAATTAATATGATTCTATACAATCAACAATTGACTTGAGCTTCTTCTTGGAATTCCCGAGAAGTAGAAAATATTTCTCTCAATGATGATACATTCCTGTTCGGAGTTTCCTGATAATCAATGGATCTCAGAACTCTTTACACAATGCAAAAAATACCGCTAGCATATCTTTGCAAGAATTTGAGAGTCTTAACTTTGAAATTCTCAGAATTCTCCTGCATTTTGTTTTTGAAATGTCATACATTTTTTTTTTTTACTTAAATGTAATACGTCAGAAGGTGTTTGGAGGAATATGAGTAATTATTTCCAATTTGATGTTCCGAATAGGCTAAAGTTTGGTAAACATATGCATTTAATATGCATACATCTCTGAAATTGCCATAATATCTGAGCCATGAAGATTTTAACTTTGTCAACTGTTGCGTTACTTTTCCAAATTCTTTTATATTAGCCTATTACAAATAAAGAAACATTCAGAACTCAATTCCTAAGAAAATAATCTCAACATTTTAACCTAAACTTTCCTCAGGAATCATAGTATATGTATACCAGACTAGGCTAGAATTAAAACCTCTCCGCAGGAATCCTCCTGAGTCTAATTCTATTGAAATTATCATCAGAACCAGTGATGCAAAATATCATGACACTCACTCGACACTCGTCAACGCATCAACCGACTATCGCTTACAGAACGTTTTATCACGCAGTGAGAGGTAGAGCCATGGCAAACAACAATCACCAGTAATGGTCGCTACTGATGATGTAAAGCACAACGAAAAGAGTGAAGACTTCTGCAGTACGATGATGAGAAAAAGCGAAACGACAGAAGAAAATGAAAACAATGCCTACGCCTTTTAAGTTCGGCACTCGCGACTATGTGAGCTACGAACAAAGCTGGCAAAATTAAACGGAAGCTGTTGGGCCCTCTCACCAACACACTCACATAAGTAAGCAACGGGACGGGAATGACCAGATCGGTGATGGATCAACACCGAAGACGACATTCACCAGTTCCTTTTTACTTCTTTCGGCAACTTGATGGATGGTCATGGAGAGTGCTTCGACAACCACATTTAATGTATTAAGCGTTACTACCATCAGCTTTTTGACGATCGTGATTGTGATAGGTCGCAACTCTGAGAAAGCTAAAAAGCAATTACTGGTGGGAATTCCACGCCTTCCTTCGGAAGGGAAGTTTAAGCCGTTGGTCCCCGGTCCATGAGTTGATCAGTCCATGTGTGGGAGCTGCCTACCACTGCGTCGGTTGCATTGGAACTCAGTGCGGAACACAAGATCGACGGAAAACAAATCAAGGAAAAAAATGCTTCAATTTTTCTCCATTATATTGTTTACAAGGAAATCTCGTGGTATGTCATTTAGAATTTAGAAAAGTGTAGAAACTTTCCTTAGAATTCCCCTGGAAATTTCTTCAGAATCTCCTGGAACATTACATGTTTCCAAAATATGTATGAAGTTTTCTAAATTTCTTAGGAGTTATCTGAACTTAAGTTAGAATTTATAGAGTTATCCTGAATTAACAGAAATTATCCTTTATAGATTTAAACTTCCCTAAAAGTTTGGATTTGCCTGAAGTTATTGGGACTACCCTTAAGATCCCTGTGATTTGTCTGAGGTTCTTGGAATTTCTATAAAGCATCCAAAAGTTCTTTAACCCTTTGTCTGTTCCTCTAAAATAATTTCATAATTAATAAAAAAAAGTTCATTGCGAAACAGGTATTAAGTAAAATTCGAAATATGTCTGTCAAGACGATCATTTCGATTTTTTTCCTTGATTTGTTTTCCGTCAATCTTATTTTCCGTGCTTTGCACCAATGCTACCGACGCCAGGGAGGCAGCTCCCACACCTGGACCCTACATATCGACCCATCAACTCATGAACCGGGGACTAACGGCTTTACATCCCTTCCAAAGGAAGGCGTGATCAGATATGTTATGCCTCAGAACATCCTGGCGGCACCGACTGGGATTGAACCTAGGCTTGCTGGGGTGAGAGGTAATCACGCTTACCACTACACCACCGGTGTCGTTTTTTTTCTGGACATTGTTCTTGGAACATCTGTAAATTTCCTACAGTTTTTTGTAATTAATCGAACCATCTTTTCAATAAATTTCTGAGGTTTTAAGAGTTTCCCAAATGTCCCCAAAAATGTTCTAATGAACTGCCCTGAATCTGTCAAAACTTTGCCGAAACTCTCTAAATTTTTTTTTTATAGATCTTTAAATTTACCAGAAGATTTCTGGAAGTTCTTATACAATTCTTGAAGTTGTTGCAACTGTCGTGAAGTTCTTTGATCTTCATGACGCTCACGATTTTTTAAGGTTCATGGAATTGTCCTGAACTCCTCAGAACTTACCCTTGAAGATCTTTAAACTTCACTAAGTACAGGACTATCATGCAATCCTCGGAACTTACCTGAAATTTTCAAAACTTATGTGAATATTTTGGATATTCCCTAAAGTCCTTGGAAGATAGCGCAGTGCGTATCTGACGAATTTGCGCTGAGCAGCTTCAAATCGTGCACTCCAAACTGCTTGGTAGGGATTCCAGACAACACACGCGAATTCCAGTAGTGAGCGTACCAATGGGCTTTAAAACTCAGAGGATCACGGAATTTCTTAAAGATCTTGAACATCAATCCAAGCTGTCGATTTGCTTTGTCGATCGTGGTTGAGAAGTGGCGAGTGTATGTGAGCTTTTCATCAAACATGACACCGAGGTCTTTAACGTGATCGACACGTTGAACTGCAGTCCCAGCAACGTTATAATCAAACAAAACGGCAGTCCTAGTTCGACGGAAATTAATTACGCAGCACTTTGAGACTCACAGGATCATAAAATTACGTTCACACCAATCATTAAAGATTTCAAGAAGATTTTGCATAGCTTCGAACGACTAGGGTAAATTATGGCTTCGGCACCCATTGACTGTTTTCGGCAACCGAAATTGAAACATTAATTTTGCTGTATTTTCCCATCAAAACTCTTCACTGAATGTATTCAACCGATTCCTTACCCTTTCAGCTTCAATCTTATTACATTTTTACGACTGAGCAATCCTGTTATGCCAGATTTTTCTTTAAATGAAATATACACACTACAAAATATGGCTGATTTCGAGTTGCCGATAGTAGAATAGCTGGTTAACACGCAGTTCAAATGGAAATGGTGCCGAAGAAAAAGAGACTGCCGACAATAGTCACACTCACCTGAGAAGTTTGGAGCGTTGTAAAAACGTGTTCAACCCGTTTTGATCAATTCTGTCGATTGGAATTGATAGAACAGCAAGCAGCAGATAAATGTCAATAAACAAACCCATAATATATGTGTGTGACGCTGAGAAACTGCTAATAGAAGTCCGGATGCTGCTTAGATTGACGAGAATACGTAAATTCCCCTATTTACCAAGTCATCGGCAAAAAACAATCACATTGCCGAGAAAATTTTTTGACGGCAGCCCAGTTTCGTTCCTCTTCGTATTCACAAACGACCAGAATCCCTTGGGGTGGCTTTGCAGATTATGTTGAGTACGAATTACATACCTCTAGTGAAGAAGCTTGTTGTAGTGGCGTTAATCATTGCTGGCAATTGGAAAATTTCGTTTGGTAAGGGCACATCGTCGATGAGTGAGAGCGTGGAGAGCTCTAGTTCGCACTCGTTTCAGGTTGCGGAGAGTAGCGTTAGACCAAGGCGGTTTTCTTTGAGGTAGGCCCTTCGGTACTGAAGCACAAACACAGTCGCGCAAAAGGCAATTATAGCGAGCGACTGCTGTATCGATATCAAGGTCATTCATGACGTTCCAGTCGATCCGGTACAAAGAACGCCTCAGCAAACGGAAATCGGTCTTCCGAAAATTGAGCCGAGTGGCAGTCAAGGTTTGATCAAAACGAATTTGAGATCCATTCGCGATAGATATATCCAAAGCAGGGTGGAAATTGTCAAGAGGAACGATGACGTCAGGTGCTTCAGCGACGACACAGTACAAAAACCAAGTCAAGAAAACGAGACTGGAAATTGGGAACAAGGTTTATCTGGCTCAGTCCATGAAAAGCCGTGCCGTCTACAAGCAAGCGGCTGGTAGGAGTAGTTGAAGGTGCAATCGGATCTGGCTACGCATAACCCTGGCATGAGGGCGACCAGATAAGCCCAGGCTGATTAAAATCACCAAGCAGAAGAAGCTCATCTTTTATATCAGCCAAGGACGAATTCTGCAGCATCCAGATGAAGCTGCATTGTTCTGCAGTCATGTTGACGTTCAGGGGGAATTTACACCGCTCCAATGAGGATGTTCCACGAAGTGAGGCTGACCTTAACCCCAAGCGCTTCAATTGTAGTAAAT